ATCTTATGCGGTCCATTATGCAAAAGAAGCCGTAAGCACCACGCTCTATGATTAGTGCACTACTACTATTAATTTCTTAGTCTTCTGCATTCTATTATTTTTATGCACTATTTATCCTCCTTTATTTTCCTGAATGCATACTAATTTGAACGCAGTTGAAAGAACTTGTGAGGACATACTATGTGGAAGCCAAGTGGTTCATCGAAGGATACTTGCCACCATTTTCCGAGTACATGAGTAATGCCTTAATCACATGCACTTACGTTTATCATACAACCACGTCCTTGTTGGGGATTAAATCAGTCACCGAGGAAGAATTTGAGTGGCTCAGCCATAAACCTAAAATGCTTGTTGCCAGCCTCATAATATGTCGACTCGTTGATGACATTGCTACCTATGAGGTATGAATTGCACTCAAAGTTCGTTGGAAGAAAAAATTTGTTCTACAAATAATTAGAAACTTTATTTCACTTATCTAATTGAGTTCGCCGAATTTTGTCTTATCGAAGGTTGAGAAGGAAAGAGGCCAAATTGCTACCGGCATCGAATCATACATGAAGGAGAATGGTGTTACTAAAGAAGTGGCCATCGATAAATTTTTTGAAATGGTTACAAATGCATGGAAGGATATCAATGATGAGTGTCTCCGACCAAGTTCCTCTCCAAGAGAAATTTTGATGCGAATTCTCAACCTTGAACGAATTATAGATGTCACTTATAAAGGCAATGAAGATGGATACACACAACCACAAAAAGTTCTAAAACCCCACATCATTTCTTTGTTTATTGATCCCGTTGTGGTCTAATATTATTTGGGATCAAGTTGGATACAAATTGATGTAATTAGACATTTTTTTTGCCTTAATTTGTGATTACTTTTTGTTTACCCTTGAAATAAAGCGAACCTTCAAATAAGCTGTAGACATTTGCTCATTACTATTAAATATCCATCTTAACAGTATATGTACTTTTGCAAATTCCATGTTTTATAAATTTTGCTACTTGGCTACTTAAAGTCTTATATTGATCATTAGATTACAATTTAGAACCTAAACTGAGCACCAAACAATATGATTAATCTTAATTTGCTCGCTGTTATGAACAAATTAATTATTTTCTTGGAGCTTCAAAATTCTCAACGTCGTATTTCAACATATGTTGAATAAAATCTGCACGGAAATTTTGTCAATTATTATTAAGAAATATTCGAGAATATAGGAAAAAAATTGTAATTCGACAACTCATATAATAAGACAATTCGTGTTAACACATTGCAATACCTTTTCATTGAAAATCCGAAATATAGATTAAATAGTCAGGGGCATCTATGACGAGAAGTACTTGTAGACCCTTAAGATCCTTAAAAATATTGATAAATGTTTATTAGTCTCGTAACGATATAAAAAGAATTTACACTGATTGAAATATACTTTGCTAGGATTAAATGAAAATATATTTCAATAATAGTTGCTAGCGAAATGCGATTGTCATCGAGTGAATCTCTAAGTTGAGATTTATTACGTGTTGACACACTTGGTCAACCCACTGGGGCCTACGGCCCACTCATGCCGAATCGCGTGGCACTCCAGCCGAGGTGGTATATATGGTCGAGGCTCTCATGCTGAAGCCCTGTGAAACTGGCCGAGGCTCTCATGCCAAAGCACTATGAAAAGTAGTTGAGGCCATGATGCCGAAGCACCATGAAAATGGAGTCGAAGCCCTGAAATGGAAGTATTATGTGAATGGAGAAGGTCCTGTTGGCCGAAGCTCAGTAGCCGAGGTAGCAACCTTTGGATCACAAAGCAGCACCTTCCATAGACACTCTCCCAAGAGATCTTCTGCACAAAGATGATATTTGAATAATTGATAGGACGTTTGTCATGAGTATAAATGTTAAGTCTTGTCACTAGTAAAGGCGGCTCTGCCAATCAATAAATGTATAGCAGGCTAGGTGTGGCTGATGCCTATAATTTGACATGTAAATTATCCGGATGAGGCCACGTGTTCCCCGAACTAAGGGTCACGATCTAACTGGTGACACTATAAATACTCCCCCATGTACCCCATACAAAAGCGAATGCAAAAATCAATACGAGAAACAACACTTTACTGAACTCTCTCTTATTATCTTGCAACACAATGCGAAATTACACATTTTTACATGTACATTTACAAACATCAATTGGTAATTATTATACAATCGATCTTCGACCATCTCGCCGAATTTCGAACGTTCTCGTCCTGTATCGTTGAGCTACTCCCACGCCCTTGATCTATCCGTTTTATACCGTCCATGTGTCTTTACGTGTTGGACTTTCGCTTACGTGTATGCGGGTGGGTCTGGCATCTATTGGCAACATATTCTGGTGTCAATAGATTGGCGTCGTCTGTGGGAAATCATATGATAACCACGAACAACCTTGTGGTGAAAGCTTGTTGAAGAAGAACATTTAGGCACCCCCTTGAAAAGAATTTGTTCTTGGAAAAAAACAAGGGGAAGCCCAAAAATCTAAAGGTCAAACATAGAAAATGAGTTCAAACGAGGATACGTCCCCCAGAAGGGTAAGAGAAAATGTGGGTGTGCCCCCTTCAGCAGCTGTTCTAGCAGCTCGGCACCGACTCCACCACCATCACAGACGAGGTGGAATGCGAGTAACAGCCCAGTTATCAAGAGAAATGGCCGGCATGACAGCCAACATGAGAGACATTGCTAGCCAGAACATGGCTACAAGGGAACTCATGACCCAAATGCAAGGCCAGGGAGGCTTCCCTATTTCTCCATACGCCCCCCAAGGGCACTACCAGCAAGAAGATGAAGTTCAAAGTCAGAGAGTTGTCTCGTCGGACTATAGTCGAGGTAGAAGTCCATTTGAAAGGGAAGTGGAAGTTAATGTTTCTTCCAACTACGCTTCTGGGCAACCCATCGAGGTCCCTTTGAATCATTATAACTTCCTACCTCCATATGAGCAAGAACGAAGATCTAGGAGGTTAGGTAGTATATTTGACAGAATTAGCCCTGCAGAACTGAGGCCCAGGCAACAACAGCCTCACGAGCCTTGGACAAGGCCACAACCCCCACCTCCCATGCCTCAGTAGCTGGAAGAAAGGCATGAAAATCCCCCCCATGCTGCACCGCCTAGAAATAGGCGCCAAAGGAGGGAAGGGAAGGCTAGGAACCTCTCACCAGCCACCAAGGTATGAGGCTGAAGAAAATGATTCAGATGAGTAGCAGAGGTCCAGTGACTTGGACGATGATGATGAGAACCTACCATTCTCGAGGGAGCTAAGGAGTGCCCATGTCCCAAACCACTATGTTATGCCCAAGATACCAAAGTATGACAGAAGAGGCGACCCTGAGAAGCACTTGAACGCTTACAAAACTCACATGAGCCTAAGAATAGCCACCCCAGCTGTGAAGTGCCGAGCTTTCCACTTAACACTTAGCAGAGCAGCTGAAATTTGGTTTAGTAGGTTACCACCTGGGAGTATAAGAAGTTGGCCCGAATTCAAGACCACCTTCTTGAAAAGATTCGCTGTGAGCAAAGAGGAAGAGGCTCCCATCCAACGCCTCCAAGACATGAGACAGGCACATGGAAAATCCCTGAAGAGCTTCCTATTACGCTTCACTGATGAGATGACATACTGTGTGCAAGTCACCGACCGTGAGGCGTTATCTGCACTAAGAGGAGGCCTGAATATGAACACCCTGTTTTGGGGGGACGTGCAAAATTAGGACCCCACCACTGACGCCCTACTCGAGATGATGAGGCGGGAGATCATCAATGAAGAATTGATTGAGCATAGGAACATGGCAAGTAGATGCCTCCCATCTCCGCAAAGACAATGTGCTAGAGGGCCAACTTCACACTTGATGGATTATCAAATGAACCAGGCCGAAAATGAGAGTTCTAGGCAAGCACTTGCCACCACCACTCTGAACGCAGTCCTGACCTTGGCATATAAGGATATCAACTCAGTCATCGACACCCAGTAGATGAGAACTCCGCAAGGATCCAGCAGGGAAAGAGGCCGAGGCTGGGGTTCGGGGCCTAGAAATAGGTCAAATTCGAACCCTCTCGGATACTGCATATACCACCGGTCCCATGGCTATGACACAGCAAATTGTCGAGACTATGCTCACTGTACCCGGCAGGAACCCCCCAGGGATAGAAATAAATCACCTCAGGCGAACAGGCCCCCACCTAGGTATGACAACGACCTAGGCGTGAAGAGGCCGCTACCCGTCAAAGGGATGTTTCCTCACGACAAAGGGAGCACGATACAGAGAGGCCTAGGAAAGTACATAGACATTGAAGGAGTCAGCAAACTTAGGATGAGGGCCCTATCCACGAGCTGGATACCATTTTTGGTGGCGCATATGTCGACGGTGAAACATGGGCCACAGCTCCCGTAGGGATCAAGTTTCACCTATTGTCTTCACCCAGGAGGAGACTGAAGGAGTTCACTACCTCCATTGCGATGCACTTGGAATGAGGGCGGTCATAGCCCGGAATGGGCTCAAGCGAATGCTAGTTGACAACGGTAGCTCTGTCAACATTCTGTTCGGGTCTACCTTCGACAAGATGATATTGGACCATGAGTTGACACCCACCACTACTCCCTTGTATGGATTCACTGGAGATAGAATCACTTCGAGAGGAAAGATCACCCTTGCAGTGGAAATGGGGGAGTCTCCCCAAACCACAATGAACTTTATGGAGTTTCTCATAGTTGACAGTCGATCGGCCTATCACAGAGTAATGGGTAGGCCAGCTCCAAAGGAATTAGGAGCTGTCACCTCCATCCACCACCTATGCATGAAATTTCCGACGAAAAATGGGGTGGCAATCGTGAGAGGCAACCAAAGAGGCTCTAGAGAGTGCTATCTGAGCTCCATCAGAAAGGTAGAGCCCCGGGACGTCCATGTGATTATCATTGACATAGTCATGGCTGATATCCCAGGTGATGCTCCCTTCAAACCGAAAGATGTGGAAATGATCGATGCACCACCCATGCCAAAAATATTGGTTATCAATGAGATAGACCCTCGCATAACTGAACACGAACCTCAAGCATCTCCAGTTGAGGAACTTGAAAGCTTATCAGTGGACCCTTGAGACCCATCCAAATTGTTGAAAGTGGCAAAAGGCTTGTCCATCGATTTGAAAGAAAAGATCAAGGATTTCATAAGTAGGAACCTTGATGTCTTTGCTTGGAGGCATGAGGACATGGTAGGCATAGACCCCAATGTCAGTTGCCACCACTTGAAAATTGATCCAAAAGTTGTCCCGCACAGACAAAAGAGAAGAGCCCTTAACTCTGAGAGGTATGAGGGCTTGAAGGAAGAAATTCAGAAGCTCGTCCAAAATGGCTTCATCAGGGAGGCCACCTACTCGAGATGGGTCTCCAACCTGGTTTTAGTAAAGAAACACAACGAAAAGTGGAGAGTATGCATCGATTTCACTAACCTCAACAAAGCTTGCCCAAAGGATAGCTTTCCACTCCTAAGGATTGACCAACTGGTAGATTCCACGGCTGGGCATGAGTTGTTGAGCTTCATGGACCCATACTTCGGCTACAACCAAATTTCTATGCACCCGGCCGATGAGGAACACACCTCCTTTAACACAGACAAATACCTTTACTGCTATAAGATGATGCATTTCGGGTCGAAAAACACCGGGGCCACATACCAAAGGCTCTTCAACAAAATGTTTGTGAACCTCATCGGCAAAATAATGGAGGTCTACGTAGATGACATGCTTGTTAAAAGTATGGAAGTTGGGGACCATGTGACGCACCTCAACAACACCTTCCAAAACTTGAGAAGGTATAGGATGATGCTCAACCCCCTCAAGTGCGCTTTCGGGGTCAGCTCCAAAAGGTTCTTAGGATACATGGTCAACCAACGTGGAACTGAAGCCAACCCTGAGAAGATTGAGGCCCTATGCAAGATGAGGTTCCCCCAAAAGCCAAA